AGAATATGTGTCTTGAAAAAAGATGTTTCTCTTTCTTTGAGTAAATTGCCTAAAAAGAAAATTTCTAAGGATCTGAGTGATTTGTAAAAAGAGTTTTTTTTTTTATTGATATTGATCACTTGATATTGTTCTGTTGTAATCATTGATCTTATTAATATAGAGTTTCATTGTACTGTTGTAATAGATATTAATCAAATATATTTTGAAAGTTGACTCTTACATGTGTATATATTTACATTACTTATTGATATATTTTGATATTGAAGTATTGGAGATCTATATGTTAAACTATTTAAATCTTAAGAAGCTTTGATATCTTTTTAAATTTTGAAAAATTTAAAATTATTTGATTTGTTAAACTAATATATTTTTTTTAAGATTATTTGTGGTGTTAAGAAAGATATCGACCTGCACTGAACTGGTTATAAGCTTTGTGAAGTTGATATTAGTTTTTCTTTTCTGACTGTAAATTAATTATTATTTATTTGTTCTTTTCCTTGTAAGGTGAGGAAGTAAAGTAACTGATAGATGTATATAGAAGTCTTTAACTACTAACTAGTTTAAAATAACTAATATAGTATTGTCTTGTATTGGATTGTTTTTTTTAGTTTTGTGTTATTATTACAAAAGTATATTTTTTGTATTTGATGCTATTTCTTTTCTTTGGATAATTATCTGAAAAGAAAATTATAATGATCTAGAAATTTTTAAGAATGATTTATTTTAATGTTTTAATATATTGTTTTAAATAGTTGATTAATATATATATATATATTAGCTTAATTTAATAAATTATTGCAAAAAAATAAACCAATAATAATTGATATTTTTTATTTTTATTATATTTTTATTATATAAAAATTATTAAAAAAAATCTTTTTTCTAATTTTAGGTTTTTTTATAAAATCTTAAGAGTTTGCATTTAGAAATAGTTGATTATACTTTATTTAAAGTATTGTTATATTTGTACAATACAATTTTGTAGAATTCTTGTAATTAATTTGGCAAATCAATAAAAATAAAACCACATATTAATTGCTAATATACAAATAAATAAAAAATTTTAACAAATAATCAAGTTAAAATAAAATAATAATTGTTGGATGTTCTTAATTTTAAGATTTTTAAACTCTTTGCTTATTGATTTTTAGGATTTATTATATTTGAGTAAAAAAATTGTTAATTCAAGAAATAAAAAAATTTCTTTTTAATATAATATAAAGTGCAGTTACTGTATGTATAACTGTAATTATTATTTCCTGGAGAATTATAATTATTACTATTTTAAGTACTGATCAACCAAATTACCGTAAGCGATCACAAAAAGTTTATGTGTTGCCTCCCTTTCTATAACAGAGGCTGATATTTTGCTAGTGATCGAAATTTTCAATAGATAATCTATATTCTACGCTTTTTTTTCTGCAATGATCTTGGCTTTGTAGTATGGTATTAATCAAAATTGTTTGAAAGCCTCAAATGATTGATATCTAAGACCAATCCTCGGCATGTGTTGTGGCTTTAAGCTTTTTTCCATGTAAGGCGAGTACTTCACATCTATGGCTTGTTGTTCTAATTTACCAATCGTTTTAAAGGGTTACTGTTCTATTTATAATTAAACATCAGAATGTTTAAGCCCTTTCATTGAGCTTTGTACTAATTAAAAAAATACGATGACATTTGCCACGCAAGTGAATTTTGAAATGTGTATGCAAATAAAAGATCATAATTTTGCTATGTATTTGCAAAGAAAACATTTAGATCGAATTCGATTAGATGCTTAGCGACTCAAATTGGCTTTGTATGTAGGCTTATATTCGACTTTGTTGATAACATCAGGAATTGGGCTCTTGCAATTGCGATGACATATTTCTGCAAGAAAAACCATCAATTCAGCCCTCCTAAACGAGTGAAATAAAATATGAATGAAAAATGCCTATAAAAACTCCCTCTTCCCATTCTCCAAGACAAGCAAGTGCTCACAAGCAATTTCAACAAAAAAAAGAAAACAAGATGAAATACCATTCAATTGTTGTTGTATTGGCCGTTATGGCCTCTACTAGCATGGGTGGTAAGTTTGCTGAGTAAAATATAAATGAGTTTGGCTTGTACAGTATCTCAATTTCTGCATCTTAATAGCTCCTTACGTCAAGAGAAGTGCTGATGCTGAGGCCAACCACGAAAAGCGTGATGCCGAACCATACTATTACTATTACAAACGTGACGCCGATGCATCCCCCGAACCATACTATTACTATTACAAACGTGACGCTGATGCATCCCCCGAACCATACTACTACTATTACAAACGTGACGCCGATGCATCCCCCGAACCATACTACTACTATTACAAACGTGACGCCGATGCATCCCCCGAACCATACTACTACTATTA